TCATTATTTTCTCTCTTGTTTTCCTTTGAATATGAGCTATCTCCTGATATTTGTGCATCTATTCCAATATAAACACTTCTAAATATTTTCTGAGTTCTTTTAAAGTTGGCATATGTAAAATATCAGACATATTTCATAATCTTTTTGTATATATGCACAAAATTTTTTTCACAAAAACTTAAAACACTTGTAGAAATGTAAGGAATGTAATTAACCTCTATATGTGCATAATTTCAAACGTTCAACTAATTTTTGTAATTTTTTCCAAAATGTCATGGCTACAGTTAAAAAGAAAACCCCACTATTTGGGATAACCACTATTTAATTTGGGATATATGATTAAAAATACTTGCCATTAAAGTTTCTGTTACTTCCCCAACATGCAGGGGACTGTTTCACATAGAACATTTTGAAAGCCTGAAGACTCAAGCCTATCAGAAGCTTGGGATTTTTAAAAATAAACCAAGTTTGAATGAGAGAGAACCCAGAAGTAGCTGAAAGTTTTCAAAATGAGCCAGACAAATTATTCATTGTGTAGAAAATCTGCCTTCAAGTTAAGCCATGTTAGAGAACATTAAGAGCTACTTTGTCTATGGTTAGGTCCCTGCATGGGAAAAAGCTACCTGAGGGTAAAGAGATATTTCAGTAGCACGTTTTCCTGGTTTAAAAGACAGATGTCTGCCAATGAAGGCAGGAACACCCCCTGGAATGGAAAGATGGCCTTCTCCCTCCAAATTATTATGACTTTGAAATTACAGGGCTCTCAGGCAAAGATATGGGGAAAGGAATAACAGTTCTTTACTAGACTATATATATTTAAACAAGACAAAACAAACAATACCAAGGGAAAAAAAAAAAAAAAAAAAGAAAACCCAATGACAGCCTTTTCCCATCTGTTGGGTTTCCCTTTGGTGTAGTTAAGACCACAACCAAGCAGGGGGGGGCTGTTGGCCCATGTCAAGGCAGAGAGGCTACAGCGACTCCACAGCGGATTCAGAGGGTGGTCAATGCAAGCCTTGAGCCTCCCCGGGGGTAATGGCAGCCTCGGAGAGAGAGAAGGTGGGAGGGGGGAGAGTATGGTTTTCCCCAGGTTCTCACGTGCTCGATATGTTATCCTCGTGATGGCAGCAGCCGAGGTTCCAGTTAAATCAGCAGCTCCGGAGAAAGGGAGGGAGGAGTTGTGTGTGGGAGGGTCCGGTTTCCCCTGAAGCACCCACACACATAGGCATGGGTCTTCCATGCAATGGCTAGTGATGAAAAGTCCCCATCAACTGGCAGCTCCTGCAAGCAGAGAGCTCATCCATGTGGGGGCAAGAACTCCCCAGCAGCAAGGGTCCAGCACCAAAAACCACGTACACTGCCCTGATCTCAGCCCAGCCACCTGGTTCCCCCTCAGCAAGCCAGTGCCCAAATCCTGCCCTCCCTCCCCGGATGCTTCCATGGAATGCAAGGGTCGTTGACCAGTTCTTTTGTACCTTAATTGCCCATCATTCATTCTCCCCGGGTGTCAACCACCCTTTCCTTTCAGCGTCCCTCTTCTCAGCTAACAAATGGGAGAAAATTCACTGAAAAAACCAAACCCACAATACAGGTAAAGCTCAAAAGTCAACTCATCAAAATTTAGACAAGGAATACTGCACAAAATGTTTAATAATGAAAAGAATTACTATTGGAAAAAGTTATGCTAGAATATGATGAATACTTTTAATTTCAAATATAGATCAAAAGTCTTTCTGGAAGACCTGCTCTAGTTCAGTAATACTTCATGAGATTAATGAAAGGTGAATTAAGGGTGAATTTTAGAGGCAATGAACACTTCTTGACCTACATTATTAAAAAAACTAAGATAAGCTGATCATTAAGATCTCTGGCTTTAAAATCTATGGATCTGTGGCCATGGGTATGCTGGTAACACCAAGATGAGTGGTGCAATTGACACACCTGAAAGATGGGATGCCATCCAGAGGGACCTGGACAAGCTTAAATTCTGGGCCCATGAGAACGTCTTAAGTTTTAACAAGGCCAAGTGCAAGGTGCTGCACCTGGGTAGAGGAAAATCCCGGTGTTAATATAGACTGGGGGGATGAACTGATCGAGAACAGCCCTGCTGAGAAGGACTTGGAGGTGCTTGTGGGTGAGAGACTGGACATGAGCTGGCAATGTGCGCTTGCAGCCCAGAAAGCCGATGGTACCCTGGGCTTCAACAGAAGCAGCATGGTCAGCAGGGTAAGGGAGGTGATTCTACCCCTTTACTTCTCTCTGGTGAGACCCGCCCTGGAGGCCACCAAGATTGATCAGAGGGCTGAAGCACCTCTCCTCTGAAGAAAGGCAGAGAGAGTTGGGAATTGTTCAGCCTGGAGAAGAGAAGGCTTTGAGGAGACCTTATTGTGACTCTTCAGTACCTGAAGGGAGCCAACAGGAAAGCTTGAGAGGGACATTTTACAAGAGCATGTAGTGACAGGACAAGGGGGAATGGCTTCAGATTGAGAGTAGGTTTAGATTAGATATTAGGAAAATTTTTTTACTGTGAGAGTGGTGAGGCCCTGGCACAGGTTTCTCAGAGAAGTTGTGGCTATCCCATCCCTGGAAGCATTCAAGGTCAGGTTGAATGGGGGTCTCAGCAACCTTGTCTAATGGAATGTGTCCCTGCCCATGGTGGAGGGGTTGGAACTGGATGATTCTTAAGGTCCCTTCCAACCCAAACCATTCTATGATTCTATTATTATATATTTTTTTTTTCATAATTTATGATTTTAAAAAATTGGTTCTTTGAACAGGTCACAAAAACTTGTCTCAGAGAAGTGAGAGGGTAGTGTAATAGCTTGAATGAGCAGCAGGAGGCAGGACTTCAGCCCTGTAGTACTGCTGTAAAAAAGGTATTGTCAGAGTGGAGTGAGGTTCAGAATTATGATTTCAATTATGCATGATGTTATAATATGTTAAAATGGGAGAGTCTATGGTTGTACTATATAGTGAGTTGATCTTATATGATGAACTCGTAAACTTTTAATTTTTAATATACAGCATCCTTTTAAATTTGACCTTTTTTGTCTGATTGGATAGTTTGACTGAATAGCATTTTCTACTGATGCAAGAAAAAAATCTGTGTTCAAACATTATTTTTGCAATATTTCTTGCATACTCATCAAATCCAAGTATGCTTTTATCAAGACATATTTCTAATAGAAAACAGTGGTAAGAAAGACTTCATTTTTCATTGAGAGTTCCTACAGTAAGAATGCTATTTCATTAATCTATTAAAAGGGGAAACCACATTTTGTTTATGCACTAAGTGAAATATAATCTAAAATATTTTTCAGTTTTGTGCTGTATATTAAGTGAACTCAGTAATGCAATTTTCCAGTATAAACTCTTTAGATAATAGTGTAATAATTAAAGAAGTGTAGGGAAGATTTATTTAAAAACTGTCATCAGTGGATATAAGCGGCTTTAAATGTACAGGTGCTGTCCCATTGTTTTTCTGTTTTTTCCATTTAATGGGGCTCATCATGTGCCTTCTTTTACTGTACATCCCATTGTCTCAATGACTTTCAATGTTTTTGCTATTCTAGCTCTGCATCTAAACTACAGCTAGATTGTAATTTTATTTTTATTGTTGTCATTATTGAATTAATAAGATGTATTAATATGGAAGGGAAGAATAGGAATGGTTACAGTTGTCTTTACTCATTTGTATTAGGAGTAATGCTACTGTATAATTAGTGGTTTATAATACTTTTTCCTTTAAATTATTATTTTGAACCTGTTATAGATAAAAAATTGATCCAGCCAAATTAAAAATAAAAATTTATTTTATTTAGCAATTGAAATCTATCTGAGCCAGCCACAAAGAAAAAGACAGTGCTGAGCCTGGGATCAGCGCTGGGTGAGACACAGGTCTGACTGCTACAGCAGAAGGTCCCCTATGTTTCACACCACCCATTCTGTGTGAGCAATTTTTATACAGTTTATTTTGCTCGAGGCCAGGATTTTGGCAATCAGCCTTTTCTTTCCATTCAAAGTCCCACATATTCATAAAATCTCTTTTCTCTGTGCTGAGTTGAACAATTCGGTGTCCGGGAAGCGATGTACAACCTTGATGGAGTTATGGGAACATGGTATTGAGATGTATCCTTTCCGGTGGTTCCAGTGATTCCAATCTTAGGTCGTTTTCAGGATGATCATCGCTCGGGAGTTCTTGGATCACCTTGAGAAACTCCCCATCTCCTGTAAATGAGGTCTTATCAGAGACAGTTTCAACATATGTGAGGCAAACCCCCTATTACCGACTCGTATGCTTTTTTAATAATATAAAACACTACATACATATCATTCTACAGGCGCGAATTATCTATATTACACATAACAAACCCATCTGATTTTTTATTTTCTTTTAAGGATGGATCTTGCTGTCTGTGTAAGCCTCCAATTTTTGTTTGCTTTGAGAGCTCTGGATATTCAAAGAATGCTCTAACAGGCTGTAGGGGGTGATATCCTGTACAATTAAGCTAATGGCAGAAAACCTACTGAATGTTTGAGATTTTACTGCATGGTTCCAGAGAGCAGAAATTTTACTTCTTATTCACACTCAAAGTGTGCATAGTTCTTTCTCAAATACTTAGAGGAAGAAACACTGAGGCATTTCTAAAGATTTTATTCTGGAGTTTTTTTTTATTCAAAACACTGGTTGTTCAGTAATTTTTACTGTTTGGAATGTAGTTTACTAGCAAATCTACTTCTCTTATCTCATGAGTAGGAAGCAAGGTAAATTGGACTTTTAAAGTGGAATCCTGCCGTATATATGCAAACAAAATGCCACCCTGACATCACTAGGAGGTTTGCCTTTAAGAGGACTTCAGGATGAGGCCTTAAAGTAGAAAATATCCCTTATCTCTGACCAAACTAGATATTTCTGTTGAACGTAAGGGAATCTATCAGAATTTTTCTGACTAGTCTTTGTATACTGTCTTGAGTCATTTTCTAATGACATCTATTATCAGATTGAGATGGCGATTGACACACTTCAAAAGTCTGATGGTCTTTCTACTCACAGAAGCTCTCTTCTCAACAGCCATGTAAGTTGTCTCTTCTTTCATGAAAGCTAATCTCTATCTTGTTCTGCATGCTTAGCCTGCCTCTAAATGTTTATTTTAATTTATTGATATTTTTAACTTGTGATCTTTCCATTTTAGTTGCTTGTAATCTACATCTTATGTCACTATATTTTGTCAGGCTAAGTGTCATGACACTGTAGAGTGCATTTCTTTTCTAGGTTCTGTATTGTGTTAACGCAACTTAACATATTTGTCTATTTTGCAGGTCCCAATATAAATGTAAAAATAATAACCAAATAAACCTTAGGTAGTCTGTTTTTGACATTCAAAAATAATTTTCTATAATTTGTGTACCTGATATAATAATTTAAGAGCAGGCAAAGGGGGAAAGAAGTAGTACACACAGTTTGGATAAAAATATACTTTAAATTCCTTTTCAAATATTTCTATTATTCTGAATAAGTTTAGTATAACAATTCTGTAGATCCATCTCATGAGATTTAAAAATTAAAACAATCTGTTAGTGTCTAATATGTTTTCTTCTTCTGCCTTTTGCTCTGTTCTGTCTTTACAAATCCTGTAGTTAGGAATTTTCCATAATAAAACGCTGAAAATGTTTGCATAAAAAGATGGTTGCAAATATAGTAGTAAAGCCATTAAATATAACTTTTAGGTAAAGGAGTAAGGCTCAAAATTTAATTTTCAGTTTGTTTTTAAATAGTGCTAGTCTTTCTTGAAATGTTGTGTAAGCAAAATGGTTTTTCTTCAGCTGGTATAAATAGTTTTGTATTTTTAATTGCTGCTAAATTTCTATACATACTGCATCCTTTTTGCTTCTCAGCCTTACTAACATAAACTTACATATTTTTTCAGATTCTTGTATTTCTTTACCACAGAAAAGTAAATATTGATTGTAATATATGAATGTATGAGCATATTGGGTAGTCTATACACTTATTTTGATTTGTTGACATTTCCCTCCCCCCCCAAGAATGTGGTAATATGGAGGTGAATACCAAAATTTTTTTGTAAAAGTTTATCAGCGTGGTAGAAAAAGACAGCCAGTACAATTTCTTGGAAGAGAATTTAGTTTTCTTAGAAAATGCTAAAATTAGATAAAGGAAATTGAATTCTGTAAATTGTGAAGAAAGAGATTTAGGTGATGTTAAGACAACCTAGAAACATGCTAAAATTATTTTAGTATCATAATTAAATAGTTGATAATTTTTTTTTTGCAAAATGCCAAAAATATGTATTAAAACTTAGATATACAAAGAATTGCTAAATCTGCCTTGAATTCTGAAATCCAGAATCTTCATAATGAAAACAATAAGAATTAAATAACAAGCTTTTCTACATCAGAAAACTGCATTCCCCTGTTTCCTGTGTAATGTACTAGTTAAAAGATCATGGAACAGATCCTCCTGGAAGAGGAGGAACCATGGAACACAGGGAGATTATTAGAGACAGCCAACGTGGCTTCAGCAAGGACAAATCATGCCTAACTAACTAGTGGCCTTGCACAATGGAGCGACTGATTTGGTGGACAAAGGGAGAGATATGGATGTCACCTATCTAGACATCTGTAAGGCCTTCAATATAGCCCCCTACACCATTCCTGCTGCTAAATTTGAGAGAGATTGGTTTGATGGCTAGTCTCTTAGATGAATAAGAAACTGGCTGGATGGCTGCATCCAAAGCATTACAGCAAACAACTCAATGTCCAAACAAGGATCAGTAATGAGTTGTATCCCTCAAAGGCCTGTACTAGGACCATTGCCATTTAATAACTTCATCAATGGCTTAGATAGTGGGATAGAGTGGGTCTAAGTAGGGCCACTAAAATGATGAGAGGGCTGGAACACCTCTCCTACAGAGAAAAGCAGAGAGAGTTGAGGTTTTTCATCCTGGAGAAGGCTCCATGGAGACCTTATTGCAGCCTTTCTGTACTTAAAGGGGGCTTATAAGAAAGATGGAGAGAGACTTTTTACCAGGGCCTGTAGTGACAGCAAAAAGAGCAATGGTTTTAAACTGGAAGAGGATAGATTTAAACTGAACATAAGGAAGGAAGTTCTTTACAATGAGGGTGGTGAGACATGGGAACAATCAGGTTGCACAGAGAAGTTATGGCTGCCCTGTCTCTGGAAGTGTTCATGGTCAGGTTGGATGGGCCTTTGTGCAACCTGATCCAGTTGAAAATGTCCCTAATCACTGAAGGGGAATTGGACTTGACGACCTTTAAAGGTCCCTTCCAACCCAAACTATTCTATGATTTTATGAAAAGATCTTTCTAATAAGGAGATTTGCATCTGTCTGTTATGGTAGTCTTATTCTGATGTTTCTTAACTGTTTTGAGGTATTTTCAAAACTCATGAAAGACAAATAGAGGATCTATTGTGGATTCTGTGGGAAAAAAAAAGACCTCCAGGTGTCTTGCTGTAATAAATGTTCTTTCCTAGCCTTAGTCATTTTGGAAGAAATTAATGGAACCCAGATCAAACACTGAATATTTTTCCTTTCTTAGAAACTTTTATTGAATTATGACTCAAATAAGGACAGAAAATATGGTTTTAGTCCTATCTTCTTCCTTAAGCTGGCATTTTTTTTGCCTTAATTAATACCTTGTGGAATCCCCTGATTCCTTCCCCCTCAGGAAAATCCCCAGAGTCCTTTCTTGGAGAGACTTACCATAGAGTCTTTCCCCACCTGGGCAGACAGAAAGGTCTCCCTCATGGACTCTTGCTTAACAGTGATCCATCCTAGTTCCTTTCCCCATGTCCCAACCTCCCCTGGTTTCTCCTTTCCCTGTTTCCTCATTGGTTGTGGTATCCCTGGTGGCTGGCCCCATGTTCCCTGAAAGCCAATCCCCTTTGCCCTGTCCTTTGTACCGCCCCTGTACCCTCCCCTACTTAAACCTTGTGCAGAGCACATGGTTTGTCTTTTGTTTCTGGTTCTCCTTTGACGTGTTCAAATAAACCTCGCTGGAACTGACCATATAAAAGGCCCTTCTGCCTCTCTTCACTGAGCTTGCTGTGGTGAGTGTGGGGTGTGAGGACTTGACTGCTTTGCCTGAATGCTTACCCAAGTGGCTTTTCCACAGGAGATGCTTACTGGGGAATATAGGTAGCAGCAACCACCATCTAAACCCCATGCTGCTACAATACCTGTTTATTTTAACATTTTTTTAAAATTTTCTTTTATTTTATTTCCTTTCCTGATTTCTTTCTGTATGTGATTGAGTTGACTAATTTATAATTTAATGATTTTTAAATATTGGAGTTCCATTGAAGTTATAGTCAATTTGCCCATTCTGCATAAACCATTTCATGCCATTCCAATGTTGTTAATATTATAAAACAACAAGTCAGTGGAGGCATTTCAATTTTAGAATTAGATTTCTGTACATACAAAAATGTATTTAAGTCTGTTTGCAATAATGTTATCATGTCTGCAGATTATTTTTTACATGGCATTCAGCTATTGACATTCTTCTTTGAAGGCTGTAACCTGCCAAATAATCATGTCAACGTTTTTTTATTGAAATATTTTCACCTTGGAGCAAATATCCTTACTTTGTACTTATCTTGGGTTTTGCTTTCCCATTGTTGGCTAATGCCAAGCTGTGGTTGAAAGAATATCTGTCAAATACAAATAATTAGTAAAATGCACTGAAATGAATCCTAATAAATTATAATTAATCTGGAAAAATTTCTAATACTATATTTAAAAGTTAAATTGAAAATAATTTGGGGGTTTTGTCAGTAATTTTTTTCTTTGTGAGATAAAAAAAATTGCTCATATTCCAAAAATTATTTGCTATAGCTTAAATGATAAGTTTGAAGGCTATAATTAAGATAAAGTGAAATGGTTTTGGTAATACACTCATGTTACAGTAAAAGTTTAAAATATTTTTTTCCTAGGCTTTGTTTCCGAATCGTAAATGCTCAAGTTAATAAAAAATTGTGAATGTTAGGACTACATTTATACCTAAAAGTTGATATAAGTATGATGAACTGCATTTGTTAATGTTTATTTAAAGTGCAACATTATCTACATCCATCTTGCAAACAGCTAGATCATGCTTTTCCTGCATCTTTACACAGAGCTCTTGTTTAAAAACCTAAGAGTGATAGTTCTGGTAATGTTTTCTGTAAGAAAGTAAACATGAAGATGTTATTTGAAAGGTCACGAGTAAATGTTTTCCTAATTTTTTTTTCATTTTTCATGTATTGTGTTCAGTAAATTGCTCACAACTGACTTAAATAGAACCGTATGTCCAATATATTCATTATAATCTAATTTTTACTAATAGTCCTGCAATAAAGAAGGGTCAGAGTGGAAACTTATTTCAAGAGTAATAGGCACTAAAATATTGATATTCTTGTTCTGTAAATGACAAGTTATATGGAGCATTACTAGAACAGAATTAGTTCAGTGATCTATTAGTAAGTAGCCCTGCAGAGTAGCATATTCAATGTCACATAATTATATATTTTACTGTACTTTAAACACATATCTTGGTCATATTAATTACTCTGGTGGTCTAAAGTGGAATGAATTAAACAATCATATGAGGGTCCAGCATATTGGAATAAAACTTTGTTCCAAATGCCAGAACCAAATCCATGGTTTGGGGATTTATTGGATTCTCAAACTAAGTTCAGACTTTTTGTAAGATTTGTGAACCTGGAAAATTTGGATGTTCATTCTAATTCATTTTGGCATAATTACTTTCTTAAGTAATTAGTTAATGCAAGACAAAAACAAAATTTGGAAATTCAAGTGGAAATTGAAGGGAAATTCCAAGGATATGAAACCATGGGGAAAGAAAGGGGTAAGCTAAGTAAAATATCCTCAAAAATCTGAAACCTCATAAGTTAAATATAGAATCATAGGATCATTTAGGTTGGAAAAGACCTCTAAGATCATTGAGTCCAACTGATAACACTGCCAAGTCCACCACTAAACAATGTCCCTAAGTGCCACAGATACATGTCTTTTAAACACATCCAGGGTTGGTGACTCAACCACTTCACTGGACAGCCTGTTCCAATGCTTGACAACCTTTTAGTTGAAGAAAATTTTCCTATATTTCCATTTATTCTTGTCCTACTGCTTGCTACTTATGAGAAGAGACTGACTTCTACATCACTACAAACTCCTTTCAGGTAGTTGTAGAGAGAGTGATAAGGTACCCTCTGAGCCTCCTTTTCCCCAGGCTAAACAACCCTAGATTCTTCAGCTGCTCTTCATAGGACTTGTGCTCCAGACTCGTCACCAGCTTCATTGCTCTTCTTTGGACACACTCTAGCACCTCAGTGTCTTTCTTGTAATGAGTGGCCCAAAACTGAACACATGATTAGAGGTTTAGCCTCATAGCTGCTGAGTACAGGGGGGCAATCACTCACCTAGCCCTGCTGGCCAGATTATTGCTGATACAAGCCAGGATGCCATCAGCCTTTTTGGCCACGTGAGCACACACTGGCTTTTTCAGTCAGCTGTCAACCAGCGCACTCAGATCCTTTTCTGACCAGCAGTTTTCCAGCCACTTTTACCCAAGCCTGTAGTGCTGCATGGGGTTGTTGTGACCCAAGTGCAGGACCATGCACTTCACCTTGCTTAGCCTCATACAAGCTCTGCAGAGCCTTCCTACCCTCCAGCAGATTAACACTCCCACCCAACTTGGTGTCATCTGCAAACTTACTGAGGGTGCACTCAATCCCCTTGTCCAGACCATTGATAAAGATATTAATCAGAACGGACCCCAATACTGAGCCCTGGGAAGCACCACTTGTGACCAGCCACCAAATGGATGTAATTCCATTCACCACCACTCTTTTGGCCCATTCATTCATCCATCCATCATTTTTACCCAGCAAACAGTATGCCTGCCCAAGCCATAAGCAGACAACTACTTTAGGAGAATGCACTGGGAAACACTGTCAAAGGCCTTACTAAGGTTCAAGTAGACAACATCCACAGCCTTTCCTTCATCCACTAAGTGCGTCACCTTGTTATAGAAGGAGACCAAGTTAGTCAAGCAGGACCTGCCTTTCCTAAACCAATGCTGACTGGGCCTGATCCCCTTGGTGTCCTGTGCGTACCATGGGATGGCACTCAAGATTATCTGCTCCATAATGTTCCCTGGCGCTGAAGTCAGACTGACAGGCCTGTAGTTCCCTGGATCCTCCTTCTGGGCCTCCTTATAGGTTTGCTAACTTCTAGTCAAGTGGGACCTCCCCCCTTAGGACTGCAGATAAATAAAAACTATAAAAATATTTCCATTTTATTTTTTTGTTCTCTTATACTGGTAAATGTCACTAAAATGACCATTTTGCTTGAGTTTAGTGTGCATGACCCTGATACTAGCTCAGTTGGTTAGAGCATGGTGCCATTAACACCAAGATTGTGGGTTCAATTCTCTGTATGGGCCATTTACTTAAGAGTTGAACTTGATCCTCATGGGTCCATTCCAACTCAGAATATTCTGTGAATCTATGTTAGTTACTATTTGTTATATACAGAGGTACAGTCATGTATTAGAAACTGTTTGCCTAAATGCTTTCAAAATTACTCACCAAAATTCTACAATAGATTACACAGGAAAAAAAAAAAAAGTTAATTATGTTCCTCTTAGAAGTCGGAAGCAAACAGGCTACAACAGAAAGGGATTTCACCCATGATGCTTTATAGCTATACAAGTTATTTTTCATGTCATCTAGATTGCTTTTTACCTTATATTTGATAGTTTCTTCTTTGTATTTGGAAGACAATAAGCCCTATTCAGTTAAATGTAGTACTGGGTTTTTTAATTTGTATTTTTTTAATTCCATGTGAAGGAAAATAGTATATCATTCCAGAATTAAGAATTTATTAACTTAGTTCTATTAGGGTTTTTTTTAAATGCAATTAATATAAATTGCATTGGTTATTTTATTTCTTTGGAGTTCTAGCAATTTTTCTCAAAAGCACAAATAACTTAATAAAATGTTAATGTATGGTACTGAATCTAAAATATTTTTACAAGTGAAGCTATCTGAGCTCACAGGTGCCATGAGTTGTTATTTCCTTATAAAGCTAAAAAAAAATTCCAAAACTAAGACATCATGGCATATCTAGCATTGAAAGTTATTTAAAGAGATTATATTTGCTCAAAGAACAAAGTCAATGTATTAAACAGGCCTTGAGTGGTCTAAAAAAGATCAGTTCTATGTTGTACAGTTAAGTGGGGCTTTTCAGTAGAGTAATACCGAATTTATATATGTTCACTCTTTCATATTTGACATAGCTCCAATGGCTTTTAGACAACTATGAAACTGCAGAAGGAGTGAGTCTCCCCAGAAGTACCCTTTACAACCATTACTTACGTCATTGTCAGGAGCACAAGTTAGATCCAGTCAATGCTGCCTCCTTTGGAAAACTCATACGGTCAATCTTCATGGGATTACGGACCAGAAGACTGGGAACCAGGTTTGTGTTAATAAAATCTTAAAGTTTAACAGAAAAATATCAATAATAATCGTGAACATGAAGCTCATATGTTAAAAACAAGCAAGAAAATAAGCAAATAAAAATATTTAAAGCCTTTCTGTTAAGGGAGTTGCCAAATCAAGCAGACTTCAGGACTCAGGACTCCTGGTCTGCTATAGCCAGATGCTGTGTGAAAGTTTATGACCCAGATATCTTCCATCTCGGTCCAATGAATGCAGCTACTGCTGTTTCCATTTGCAGCTCCAGGTAGTAGCGAGACTGAACATGTGTTCCAAAGATGCCGACAAACACACACATGACACTAACACAGCTAACCACAGAAGCTAACACAGAGCAATGCCTTTACCAGCACCCATATAGACACTCTCATAAACATGAACACAGCCCAATTCTGTTATTTTTCAGCTGACCAGGACTGAAGTTGATTAGTGAAACATGCACAAACCCTCACTCACAAGCATACCTCATTTATGGAATTGTTTTATTCACCATTACTGCATAAGTAATTTAGTTGTTTTTTTTTTAATTTACCTTATTCTATTTAAATGAAGCCCAACAGTAATGTGCTGGAAAATATAGTTTAAGTGAACTGATTTTCAGAAGCTGGTGGAGTTATATCAGTTTTATACCAGAGTGAGAGGAAAGACAAGCCTAACTTCTATGTACGGTTTTCCAGTAAAGGCAAATGTTGATGTGCAATGTATATACTAAAGAAACAATGTTATTTTTGTTCTTTCATGAAGGGGGAACTCTAAATACCATTATTATGGGATTCGTGTCAAACCAGATTCTCCCCTTAATCGGCTACAAGAGGACATGCAATATATGGCTATGAGACAGCAACCCATGCAGCAGAAACAGAGGTATAGTGTTATATGAAACTACTTTTTCATATTTCTAGTTCTTGGAACCTTACCTGTCTGCATTTATGTGGCAAAGTTGAATCTCTAATGGAAATTGTTTAATTTCTCTTGGGAAAAATAAAGGTTTGTCAGTTCAGCAGTTGATATCACTGGAGTCTGATATCAGTAGACATATCTAAAAACTCATAAATTTGAAAAATTTATTAAAAAAGTAAAATATTAAATTCTTCAGAACAGACACTTCTTGGTGGTTTTGGGTTATTTTATCAAAATATGGGGGAAAAAAAGTAATAGGAGCTTTGAATTTCAAATTCTGCTCTTCATTTTCATCTCTTTATTCAGCACATATAAAAAAAATTATAGAAGAACTTGTGATTAGGTTCAGCTTTTTGTTGATGTCCTCCTCCTGGCAAGAACTGATGCATCAAACCCCTGGACTTGAGCAGAGAAGACTTGGGCCACTGCTGGGCTCTGCTTGGAATAATCCCATGGGAGACAGTCCTACAGGGCAAAGGGGTCCAGAAGAGCTGGTTTATTTTTCAAGGAACACCTTGAAGTTTAAGAATGGTCCATCCCAGCATACAGGAAGTCAAGCAAAGGTAGAAGGAGGCCTGCATGGATGAACAAGGAACTCCTTACAAAGCTCAAACATCTAAAGTATACAAGAGGTGGAAGCAATGTCAGGGAACCCAGGAGGAATATAGGGTCTGTCTATAGATTCTATATATAGACTGTCTGACTGTGCAGGAATGATGTTAGGAAAGCCAAAGCCTGCCTATGAAGGACAAGAAGATTATTGGGAGTTGTCATCATGTATTTACAAAGGGGAAATCATGCTTGACCAACCCAATAGTCTTCTAAAATGAGGTGAATGGCTCCATGGATGAAGAGAGAGCAGTGGATTATGTCTATATTGACTTTAGCAAGGCTTTCAAAACTGTCTTCCTGTCAGGGAGCAGCAAGGGCTGTCTTCTCCTTAAGGAATGGAGAGTTGGGAGTTGAGTACCATGGTATACACAGCAGAGACCTCACCAGCCTGGGCCTAGTCCTGCAGTATACAAGTGAAGTGAGCCGGGCAGATCTGGAGATGGTACTCAGATTCAAACAAGAATCCAGATCATCAGACAAATTTGTGGTGATGACACAGGTGCAAGGTCCAGCCAGGAAGTCAGTCCACAAATCAGACTCAGGTCTGGTGAGGACAACCAGGGTCAGACACAGTCCACTGATCATTGGGTAGGTCCCTAGGGGCAAGACAGGTCCAAGGTCAAGACAGAAAGCAAATCCATAATTTGGGGTCCAGGTCAATGGGATCCATACCAGTCACAGGTGTGGGTGTGGCTTAGATAGAAATCAGTAATACTGCAACACAGGTATCTTATCAATGTGTATAAATACCTGATGGGAGGCAGTAAAGACAAAGCCAGGCTCTTCTCAGCAGTGCCCAGTAACAGGACCATGAGCAATGGGCACAAACTGAAAAAGACAAAATGTCGTTTAGTTGAAAGGCACCTCTGGCAATTGTCTAGTCCACACACACGCACCTGCAGCACAAAGCAGTGTCAGCTAAAGCAGGTTGCCCAAGCCATGTACAGTTGAGTTTTGAATTTCTCTAAAGGTAGAGACTTCACAAACTTACTGGGCAAACTGTTTCAGTGCTCAACCAGCCCTAGAGTTAAAAAAAAAAGAAAAAAAAAAAAAGAATTTTCTTATGTTTAAGCAGAATTTCCTGCAATTCAATTTGTGCCCATTGCCTTTCACTGGATACTAATGAAAATAGTGCGGATATGCTTTATTTATTCCATCCCAACTGTATCTCTATAAAGTAGTTTTGAAGATCTTTGTTCATCCCCTAAATCAATTCAGGTGGGCAAAGATTTTGGTAAAATAAATTTCAAAATCCCAGGCATTCTAAATAGATGAAATGCAGAGAGTGGGGAGCTAGAATGACTGTGTGATATTTACAAAGTGAAAAATTTAGTACTGTCTGTTTTCTGTGCAAAATTAGATATACTAATATATTTTTCAGAAAAGAGGTGTTTTTCCAACAGAAAAATAAGAAATTTTCATTGAAAAACTTGGGAGTCCATAAACCAACTGCTACCTACACGATGTTTTGTGCAAAAACTGCCAACTTTGAAGGTTTTGATGTTAATTTATTAATGGAAAAATAGACATTTTAAAAGCAAGATCAGATGTCTGCCTAATATTTTTATCACAATGGACTGTGGTTAACATAATAGTAATTTTAAACAAAATTTTAAATGTATATATAAAACACCAGCATTTCTTACGTTTAATATAATTTTGCTGTTCTCTAGCATGCAGAAATCTTTCCTTTTACTTTTTATTTCTGTTTATATCCTTATTTTGCAGGGTTTAGGATACAGTTTGGTCAGATTTTCTTCTGAAATGTGTGTGGGGGAAAGCTTGACCCATATAGTTGCTTGTTTATTTTAACGGATATAAAGATTCTCATGTATGCACTAGACTGCAGAGGTTAATGCTTGGGGGGTGGGGGAGAGGATAAAAGAGATACATGTAAGAAAAACAAACAAAAGCATGCATTAAGCTGCATTACATTTTTTAAGCACTATATTTCTGAACTAAGACTTCTGCCACAGTTATGAATTATGCTCACTATATATTTGAGAAGAAGAAATCTATAATGTTTTAACATGACATAAAGGGCTTAATACTATAGCTTGAGTCATTAGGAGCAATATTTATTATTTACAGTTTTATGTATATTTATAATTTTATTTAAAAACTAAAAAAGTTTTAACTTACATGCAATAATTCTCTTTTAAAAAGATATTCAAAGAGAATCTAAGAATCACAAATGTTTCTTTCTCTTTTCTAATAACTCCAGCTGGGAAATGCTTTTTTTTCTCCTTTAGAATCATCTGACAACTGTGCTTTTTCTGTTAAGATCTATCAATTTTACCCCCCTCCATCAATCACATCGAATCAGATAGACACTTCGATTCTTGACTTCTTGACAAAGTATAGGCTGAATTTATGCTATAGATCACTTTTCCTCATTCTTAATTTAAAAGGTTGTGCAACTTTCTTACTTGTGTGACACTGCATTCCCAGAATTACAGGATATGATGAGTTGAACAGGACAGACAAGAATCATCGAGTCCAACTCCTGGCCCTGCACAGGACTATCCCCAAGAGTCATACCATGTGCCTGAGAGTATTGTCAAAATACTTCTTGAGCTCTGTAAGGCTTGGTGGTATGACCACTTCCTTGGGGAGCCTGTTCTAGTGCCCAACCACTCTCTGGGTGAGGAACCTGTTTCTCATATCCAACCTAAACCTCCCCTGACACAGCTTCAGGCCCTTTCCTTGGGTCCTGTCACTGGTCACCACAGAGATCAGTGCCTGCTCCTCCTCTTTCCCTCACAAGGAAGTTGGAGACTGTGATGAGGTCCATCCTCAGTCTCCTCTTATCCTGGATGAACAGACCAAATGACCTCAGCTGCTCCTCATATGGCTTCCCCTCAAGGCCCTTCACCATCCTTGCTGCCCTCCTCTGGACACTCTCTAATAGCTTAATATCTTTCTTAGATTGCAGTGCCCAAAACTGCACACAGTATTTAAGGTAAGGCTGTACCAGTGCAGAGCAGAGTGCGACAATCACCTCCTTTGACTGGCTGACACTGTTGTGCCTAATACACCCCAGGACATGGTTGGCCCTCCTGGGTGCCAGGGCACACAGCTGACTCATGATAAACTTTCCATCAACCAGGACCCCCAGGTCCCTTTCCATGGCACTGCTCTCCAGCATCTCATTCCCCAGTCTGTCCATACATCCAGGGTTACCCCATCCCAGGTGCAGAATCTGGCACTTTCCCTTGTTGAACTTCATATGGTTGGTGATTGCCCAGTCCTCTAATTTGTCAAGGTCTCTCGGCCTTTGAGGGAGTGGAGGCCTCCTCCAGTTTTGTATCATCTGTGAACTTGTTTAGTATACCTTCCACTCCTGCATACAAGTCATTTATGTAGATGTTGAAGAGCACAGGGATGAGGATGGAACCCTGTGGAACCCCACTAGACACAGGTCACCAGTCTGATGTCATCCCATTCACTATAAGCCTTTGTGCCTGACCCATGAGCCAGTTGGTCACCCATTGCATGATGTGTTTATCCAGCTGTGGGCTGGACATTTTGTCCAGAAGGATCTTGTCAGAGACACTATCCAAAGCTGGGCTGAACTCCAAAAAAATTACATTAAGTGGCTTCCCTTGATCACCTAGCTGGGTTACCTCATCATAAAAGGAAATCGAGTTTTACAAGTAGGACTTCCATAAAGCCGTGCTGGCTGTGACCAATGACTGTGTTGTCTTTCAGGTGTTTTTCAATAATTCCCAGAATAATCTTCTCCATAACTTTACTAGGCAACTAAGTGAGACTAACAGGCCTGTAGTTTCCTGTCTTGGTTTGAAAAGACAGGTGTCTGCTTAAGGAAGGCAGGAGCCTCCCCTGAAATGGAAAATGTAAACCTCCTCCCTCTGAATTGTTATAATTTTGAAATTAAAAGGCTCTCAGGCACAGATATGGGAATAGGAATAACAGTTCTTTACTAGAAAAACTAAAAAATACAAATGCAATAATACGAACAAACAAAAAAACTACTGGCAGAGTCAGAATATGACCTGACACTCTGTGGGTCAGGGTGTTGGTAGCAGTCCTATTAAATGGTGGCTGCCATCCTGGAGTGACAGGTGTGGTTCTGTTTTCTGTTGAAGCAGTGATCCTGTAAAAGGGTGTAGTTTTCCTCTGAAGGTCCAGTGGTAGTGTAGATGGGCCTGGTCTTCCTCTGGGAGTCCAGTGGAGAAGACAGTTGCTCTTCTAGGAATCCAGTGGGAAACTGCTGCTCTGGTGTTCTAAAATCTCAGATTATATCCAGGTAGGAATGCTTGGCTCCTCCCCCTGGGCAGAGCATCTCACAATGGGATGATGTAATTTTATCAGTCATGCAGTGATACTCA